AAAATAGTCGATATAAATTTGGTTTCTGCTATTGGCTAGTATAATGAACGAGTCAACTACGAACGAGTGACGACAGGAGGACATAAAATTCGTATAAAAATTCCTTCATTGACGGCAAATAGGAGACAGTGTCCTTAAGCTGTCCACTTTTGTCATTGGTCAATATCCTCTCTGTGGCCGACTACTTCTTACACATATTTATGAAGGTCTTGTTGAGGTTTTATCTAATGATATAAAATTAGTGTTTATAATGTCGTGGTTGTCTGGTGGGGTGGTTGTTGTTTGGTGGGATAGTGGTTGTTGTTTGGTGGGGTGGTGGATATTGTTTGGTGGGTGGTGGTTGTTGTTGGTGGTTGTTGTTTGGTAGGATGGTGGTTGTTGTTTGGTGGGGTGGTGGTTGTCGTTTGGTGGGGTTGTGGTTGTTGTTTGGTGGGGTGGTGGATGTTGTTTGGTGGGTGGTGGTTGTTGTTGGTGGTTGTTGTTTGGTAGGATGGTGGTTGTGATTTGGTGGAGTGGTGGTTGTTGTTGGTGGGGTAGTGGTTGTTGTTTGGTGGGGTGGTGGTTGTTGTTTGGGGGTGGTGGTTGTTGTTGGTGGGGTGGTGGTGGTTGTTTGGTAGGATGGTGGTTGTTGTTTGGTGGGGTGGTGGTGGTTGTTTGATGTGGTGGTGGTTGTGATTTGGTGGAGTGGTGGTTGTTGTTTGATGTGGTGGTGGTTGTGATTTGGTGGAGTGGTGGTTGTTGTTTAGTGGGGTGGTGGTTGTTGTTTGGTGGAGTGGTGGTTGTTGTTTAGTGGGGTGGTGGTTGTTTGTGGTTCTTTGGTGGGATGGTGGTGGTGGTTGTGCTTTGGTGAGGTGGTTATGTATACACACTTATGTATATATGTTCTGAACAGTACAGGCCACCAAAGAACATCACACTCCACTAAAAACCCGTTGACCTTGACGGGTAGCGACTCGCTCCACAAAAACAAACTCTCTACTACAACCAGATGAAGAAGGAACAACAATAACATTAATAACAATAACAATAACAATAATGGCTGAGGAACCAGTTCTTTACATAGTTCCCAACGTCTCGACGAGTGGGAAACTTATGCTCTCTCTTCCCGCTTTATTATCATCCAGGCTGACAATATTGATCAAGATGATAGATCAGATGTTCTCGTAGGTGTTGGGGGACGGGCATTATCATTACTTTTAGGGATTAGAGGAGATAACTGTCTTAGAAGAGGTGTGAATGTGTTGATGGTGACAGTGGGCGAGTTGTGCTTCACGAGAGGTGCTGCCATCTGTTGAACAAGTTGTAGAGGTAGAGTGGGCGGGTCCTCTCTGAGCCCTCCTCTTCCTCCCACCTCTCCATCTGAGCTACTTCTTAAAACTGTTTCTTTTTCGTTCTAATTTCATTTTGATTGACTTTTTTATTTCTGTATAAACATAGTAATATATTCTGGCACGTTATTGTCTTGGGGTAATATTGTAATACGGGTGATATTCGTAGTAGGATAATGTGTATGATTGTTCAACGAAATATTGTTAAGAACGATCGAAGAAAAACGGAGATAGCTATCATGTCACCTCATTGTTATTAAAGAAATAATATTAATTTAGTTTTTACAGTTCATGTTTTTAAAGGTATCTGCCAGCGATATTTTGACCATTATTTCTTATTTAGTGAGACGAGAATTGCGTATCTTCGTCCCGTTGGGAGAAAGATAGTGCTATGTTACGTCGTCTCGTTGACTTTATTATTACTGACGTCTACAAGTAATCAAAACACGACAGTCTTAGTTAGACCTCTGACGCAGCGAGACGAGTCTGATGGGAAGATTCACTGAGCCGAATCACTGTGAATCGAATCGTGTTTTACTTAACGGTTGAATGAATCCACAAATTTTAATTAAGCTCATGCGGTGAATTATTGAAATCTGTGTTGAATTTATTTTTCGAACCTTGCCCTACTCGTTTGTTGAATCATCGAATCACTGGAGTTCATTAGTTGATAGCGTTTTTGCTTGATGGCTGAATCACCCAATTATATCTGAACAAATTAATTTGTACTATTAAAGTTAACGTTTAAGAATGGAATCATTTTACACGAGGGATGATTCGGTAGTGAGGCGAATCATTAAAGTCTTTGAGTCGAATCGTTTTCTACTTGGTGATTGAATCACCGAATCATGGTTGAGGTTAATATAGCCAGAGCTGCACTAACTTGAAGGGTCATTAGTCGTACCGAATCGTCTGACAAATCTTGAATCACCGTGAGTTCGAATCATGAAAATATTTTTTAATTATTTTGTTGAGTCGTATCACAGCCGAAATAACTGTTGGATATGGAATAAGAGAGAGAGAGAGAGAGAGAGAGAGAGAGTCTGCCAGCTAGTGAACCAGTCAGCTAGTAAGTCAACTAGTCAGTCAGTCAACTAGTAACATAGTTAGCTTGTAAGAAAATCACCCAACCAGCCCCTTAAGAAGTCAGGGAGGGAAGCTGACAGACACACAGTCACACAGCATGATGGTAGAAGCTGCTTAAAACCAAGTAATACAACAGGTTTATGCTGACGGTGCTACTTACAGGTAAAATGTTGCTTTTATTGAGTGCGAACTACGTGACCGGGATATAAGACTCAGGTGTTGTGTTGACTGGGGCAATCACGCTTTTAATTGCCTGGCAATTAACCAAGGACGATGTTTTTGTTAGGTTAATGAGTACAGTATACACATGGTTTACTCGTATATAATTTACGTATGGTATTGGCATCGTACAGTAAACCTGAATTAGCAGTACAAGGGGGAGAGTTTTTAATCGGAATTAGTCTAGTTGAGTGTTGGATGGTGTGGCATTAGTGGTGGTGGGTGTTGTCCTACCCGGAATTATTGGTTGAGAGTGATGGATCGCAGGGCAGGATTGGTGCTGGTCGTCGTCTAGCGGTGGAGGTGGTGGTGCGGGACCTCATGCATATTCAGAGAGCGGAGGAGCGAGTCAACCTCCTTCTTATCAGTGGTCTAATTATTAAGGACACACTCAAGACACACACTGCATGATTTAGCGCCGCCACCAGCACCACTACCACCACCGGCAGCACACACATCCACCTGGCCCACAGACGCGACATCCTTAACTCTTCCTGGGGGGTTTTGACCCTTACTTAAGACTTCTGTGGGGGTGATTTAGCGGTACGGATCATCGTCCCCTACCCACCCCATCCTCCCCTACCCACCCTCTCCTCCCCCTACCTTCCCCTACCCCCCCCCCAGAGCTCCGGGTCGACTACTGGGGAACCTCTCGTGACGGGTAAGGTCGACGCTCAGGTATCGGAGACTCGCTGACACTTCTACTTGATGACAGTGGCTCTAATTATTGAAGATTTCGAGGCAACACAGTGCTATCCATCTTCCTGACGGTAGGGTCGATGGTCTCAATGGACGAGGAAGGAGGACCCGACCTTATGTTCGTGGGGTCGGTAATGTCCCTGTTGTTCTAGGGTGGGTCTCTGAGGCCGTGGGTGTCTCCCAACCATTATATTGAGATCATCAAATTAACTCTGCCAGTCCCAGGAGTGTGGCTTAAATAAGGTGGTGGTAATAGTGGTGGTAGTGGTGGTGGTGGTAGAGATGGTGGTGATGATGGTGGTGGTGGTGGTGGTGTTGAAAGTGACGGTAGTAGTAGTGATGGTGGTGGTAGTGGTAGTATGGATGGATAGTGGTTGGGGGAGTTGGTGGTTAAAGTGATGGTAAAAACATGAGTAAATGGGGTAATGTTTCTGAAATGAATGGTGGTAATGGTGGTCGCAGTAATAATGATGATGGTGATAGTTATGATGGTGGTGATGATGATGATGATGATGGTAATGATGGTTTTACAGTTTGTAGTGATGGTGACGTAATGTAGCTCGCAAGAGGTGTGTGTGTGTGTATGTGTGTGTGTCCGGTTAGGAGTTAGACAAATATAGAACAGGATCCAGGTTTATGTGTATATTATAATACATGGTGCTGGCCGAATGACTAGACAATGTAATACTCGTGTACATATACATTAGACAAGGCCACGCACATATACACACCTAAATGATATTACCAAGCATATATTTCATCTATTCACGAACGGCCAGATAAAGAGGTATACTCATGCAAACATACAGACATACAGACAGACTGAAACACAAAGAAATAGGTTTGTTTATTTCTTATACTTGGAGGTGATACACGCGACCCCACAGTGAAGGTAAAAGTCTAGTTTAGTGGACAATCCCACCAGTGTTTGTGAGATCATGTCCGTTTGTTTGTCCTTGTGTCATTCTCTCTGTCTCCTTCGCCTCTCACACAGACACAGACACACAGACAGAGAAACAGAAGTCAGTGTTGAGGCAGGTGTGTTGGCCCCAGAGAGCTGTGGAAGGTGTCCTCAGCTCGAGTCGATTTTGATTGCAAATGAGGAGAGTCGCGAAGACCTGTCAGGTGATAGCATCGTTGCCGCCGCCACCCTATTCCTCCTTCTCCACTTCTTCCTCCTCCAGGTATCGTTACCATCGACAACCTCCTCCTCCTCCTCCTACTCCTTCGGGTTATTTTTACCGCCGCGATCCACCGCCGTCTCCTTCATTTCCTCTCCCCCCCCCGCTTACTTTTCCTCTTTTTTTCTCCTCCTTCTTCTCTTTATCATTCTCCTCCTCCTCCTCCTCCTCCTTCTCCGGGTAAAAAAAATCCCTCAGGTGAAAACTTGGAATTACAAAATTTAAGGAATGGGAATTGGAATGTACTACTTTTAAGGGTGGGGACATGACAGGGTAGCTCGATTTTAGGAACGTGAAGATTATGTGAAGATCCTGAAGTGTTGAAGGACGAGGCATTTAATTTACGAAGACAAGATTTACAATTCGAAAAAAAAAATTCCTCTTCAAGCAAAAAAACCAAACAGATTTTTATAGGAATTGATAACTAGAACGCACACACACACACACACACACACACACACACACACACACACACAGGGGTACTCACCAAAATGCTGATGGACGGTCGAGTCGTTGGGTGCCAGAGATTTCGCTCGCTGGAACCACTCCTCAGCCTCACCCAGGCGGTGCTGTAGAAGGGGAGAGAAGAAGGGTGTTACTGGGGAGGTACTGGAGGAGCTTAACTGGGGTGTACTGGGGAGAGAGATAGAAGTTCGAGGGGTAAGAAGTTACTGGGGGAGGGTGGGGAGGATAAGAGGAGGAGATTACTGGGGAGGGGGAGAAGGGGAGGTTGGTGGGGGAAGCATTTGTTATGGTAGTCAAGAGATTACAGTAAAACACAGAACAGACTCTCTCAAAATATAAGAATAAATGATAAAAAATAATGCATAAAATTCATATATAACCTATGTATAACCTATGTATAGCCTATGTATATGTATATATCTGTAGGTAAACACAACTAAATCACAAAAAAATATTGAGTGTTGTCATTTGTTTATAACTTAGAGGGAAGAAATACTGTTGGGTTAATAATAGTTTAGTTTCCCTTAAAATTACAGTTCAATGAAAGAAAACGATCCTGTCATGAAAGAAAATTGAATTAGTTTGATGATTTTGACCCACGAGAAGATTAGGTTAGGTTAGATTAGGTCAATGTTAAGTTAGGTTGTGTTAGGTCAGGTTGGGTTACATAAGGTTAGGTCAGGTTTCTGGTGTAAAGTCTCAACAGTAGCGTGTAAGCTGGTCTCGTGGTGTGGGGTTACGACAAGTTCCTCGAGTGTGACGCTTCATAAAACGAGTCTTTGAAGGCAATGTTCACCTGTCGACACGGCGGAAAGAATTTCTTAATTTACTCCTTCAAGCAAGTGTCATTTACCATCCCAGTCTTGTACCTTCAGTGGGAGCTCGTGGCGTGGCTTCAAAACATCTAAACTTTTCTTGAATATCTAATACTTGTCTCCTATATTAGGACACCAGGAACTCCTTAATCCTTCCGAATGTGTCCTGTTAAAAGATCCTTCGTCCTAATATTTCATTCCCTGGCTGGAGCTCCTGTCCGCTCATCCTTATATTAAACCAACTTAAGGATTTTCTCAAAACATTATTGTGTTTTAGGATACTCTACTGTACATGCATGTGATAGATCCCCATTTTAGGATATCCGAAGGATCTCCTCAGCACCTTCATCCTCGTCTCGTTGGGGGTCCTGCGTCAATATACTTAATGTTTATGTTACGACACCCGAAGGACTCCATTAAAAAATTCAAGATTCATTTGGTCGAATATCCTACTCGATATTGGACTTGATCCCTATGTAGGAACACCCGAAAGGTTCCTTCCTTGGGCCGTGTGTAAGAACTCGCCCGGGTAATATGATCAACAGCAGCAAGGGCGGCAGCGTCAGCAGAGGCGGTGGAGGGCTTGGGACCCGTGTCTCCAGGCCTGGGATAAAGATCTACAAGAAACAGCAATTTAAAGCTCTGGTTCACGACAGTCCGAGTGTCGTGTGGCGCCAGACGGATCAATTATGAAACTATTTGTTATTACCAGGCTTCGTGGCTGCTACCTGAGGGCTGCTACCTGAGGGCTATTACCTGAGGGCTGCTAACTGAGTTCTGTTACCTGAGATTGTGAATGAGTGAGTGATGGAGAGTGTGAGTGAGTGAGTGAGTGAGGAGAAAGAGAGAGAGAGTGAATGTGTGAGAGTGAAAGTGAGTGAATGAGTGAGTGAGAGAGTGAATAAGTGCGTGAATTTGTGTGAGTGAGTGAGTGAGTGAGTGAATGACCTGGACATATGACCTACTAATCACCTTAAATGATGGTTGTACTCTCGTGCATAAGAGGTCAACGCCATTGGGTTAGAATGATTCGTACTCAGGAGGATATAAGTCATCGTACTCACTAAACTACATTATCATACTCAACCGGTTACGTCAGTTTGCGTCATTGTACTCAACCGGTTATTTTATTCCACATCATGAATTACGTCATCATACTCAAGCGATTGCGTCAGTTTGCGTCATTGTACTCAACCGATTATTTTTATTCGACTTTATGGATTACGATTACGTCATTGTACTCAGCGATTACTTTAGTTTGCGTCACTGTACTCAAACGGTAATATGTGTACACTGAAAAAAAATAACGTAGATAACTCAAAGTAGTGTTAAGTATATGCAAATTTGTGTATGTTTTTATACGCTATGAACTCTTTCGGTTTTAATGAGTGGATGTAACGTGGATGATTGTGTGGGGGAAAAAAGGAAAAATATGGCAATACTATGATGTTGCCATATTGGAATATTTGGGTTAATTATTTCCCAACGTTTGTGTATAAGTGATGAACCTCCTGTATAAACTAAGAAATAAACAATAATAAATAAATAAATAAATAATTAAATAAATAAATCAAACAAAAATAAATATATAAAAAATAAATAAATAAAACTAAAATTGTAAATGAATAAAAAAAATAAAAAATAAATAAAAAATGAAAAAAACTAATTAGAAAAAATCCGTTCCTCAACATTTCCTTGATTCATTAATTTTCTTTCTACCGGATAGACAGAGAGACAGACAGACAGACGGAAAGATACCAACGCCCTGGCTGGGATTCTATCAAAACGAGTTTTCTCAGAGCAAGAAAAAATAAGATCACATCAAATAAGTCCGTGGTGGAGTATGTTGGTGGTGGAGTATGTTGGTGGTGGAGTATGTCGGTGGTGGAGTATGTTGGTGGTGGAGTATGTTGGTGGTGGAGTATGTTGGTGGTGGAGTATGTTGGTGGTGGAGTATGTTGGTGGTGGAGTATGTTGGTGGTGGAGTATGTTGGTGGTGGAGTATGCTGATGGTGGAGTATGTCGGTGGTGGAGTATGTTGGTGGTGGAGTATGTTGGTGGTGGAGTATGTTGGTGGTGGAGTATGTTGGTGGTGGAGTATGTTGGTGGTGGAGTATGTTGGTGGTGGAGTATGTTGGTGGTGGAGTATGCTGATGGTGGAGTATGTCGGTGGTGGAGTATGTTGGTGGTGGAGTATGTTGGTGGTGGAGTATGTTGGTGGTGGAGTATGTTGGTGGTGGAGTATGTTGATGGTGGAGTATGTTGGTGGTGGAGTATGCTGATGGAGAATATGATGAATATATGTGTGTGCGTGTGTGTGTGTACTCCCTCCCCTCCTTCCTCTTATGATAAACTAACACATTTTACTCACCATCTTAGCCAGGAGTTTCCCGTAGGTGAGGTGGGCGGGGACGTGGTCAGACTTCACCCTCAGAGCCTCCAGATACCATCGTTCAGCCTCCTCGAACTTTTCCAACTTGAAGAACGCCTCTCCCAGCATATTATACAGACTCTGGTCAAGGAATAATAATAATAATTCTCATTAGTTAGGAAAATAATACCATAATTTGGTTTCCTCTTGAAAACAAATTTCCTCTACCACAGTCTGACTCTAAATTTGAATTCTGGATTTTAGATTTTAATTCTAATTCTGAATTCAAATGTCATGAGTGAATTCATCATCTCTCTGCCAACTAGATCTGTCAGGGTGATTTACACAATTGATTATTAAATTTATCATCACTGGGGAAAAAAATACCCAATATTTACTGAATAATCTACCATTAACTTACACATTCACTGATACTTAAAAAATAAAATAAAAATACTACAGAATTTAAAAAAAAAACTTTTATCTACAAAAAGTAAAACAAAAATCAATTCAGTCAAGATTTAAGTCAATGAAGAATTAAGTCAATGGAGATTTAAAAGTTCGTCTAATGGTTTTGGGAATCATTTAACCATCCTCTGGCAAATTGGTACGAGTCATCCTCATGCTCATTATCCAGGCGTTGAATATGTTGAGTAATCATCATGTTGTGAGGTATACCGACAGAATTTAGTTATGTTGTGAATTATACCGACAGAATTTAGTTATGTTGGGAGTTGTGCCGACAGAATTTAGTTATGTTGTGAGGTATACCGACAGAATTTAGTTATGTTGTGAGGTATATCGACAGAATTTAGTTATGTTGTGAGGTATATCGACAGAATTTAGTTATGTTGTGAGGTATACCGACAGAATTTAGTTATGTTGTGAGGTATATCGACAGAATTTAGTTATGTTGTGAGGTATACCGACAGAATTAGTATATAATATTTTAACCCTAATTGTTTCTCCTGTGGTAAAGTAATCAGAGGTGGAACATAAAGGGAAGAAGAAGAAGAAGAAAAAGAAGAAAGTGGCAGGTGTGTCAGATCGACTAGCTGAGTTTCAGAGTGAATGGAGTCAGTTGGCCCATATCGTGTCAATAAATAAAAGCAAACAAAACAAAACTAAACAAAACGAATAAGTAATTAGAATCTCTCTCTCTCTCTCTCTCTCTCTCTCTCTCTCTCTTGGGGTGAGGAACGAGTCAAGGAGGAACGCCCCTAGAGCCAATCACTGTTATATCAAGATCCAACCAGGGGGGGGTTATATGTAGGGGGGGGAAAGAGTGACCAAACACACAGGGAATGGAGACGAAGCGACGGAATTAGTTTGTTTACCAGCTGAAGATACGAAGCATATTTTTAAACGTTATTGTAGTGATTTTCATTCTTTTCGTTTCTCTTAATTCTACTCTACCAAATAGGAAGAAGGAGAGAGAGAGAAGGAGAGATAACAGGTATAGAAATAGGCATCGGGGCGTTAAATATGTAGATAATTACGTCTCGTTATCTATAGGTCAAGATATCATAGTAATTAAGAACTGTTATGCTATCTCAGATCACGATTAATGAATGTTTACTGACAGCCGGAAATGCAGAATAGCCGGTCATACCAGTTTGATAGTGAGGGAGAGGGAGGGAGAGAGGGAGTGAGGGAGGGAGGGAGGGAAGGAGAGAGGGAAGTAGAGATAACCATTCTTCCCTATACGTCGTCTAGAAGGTTCTACAGAGATATATAGTGACGTGTTATCTCTGCATATATGTCCGATACGACGTAGATATAACATTGTTCCTTGCTATATCATCCATCTATCCATCTATCCACCACCCACCTTCCTAACACACACACACACATCCCAAAGTAAACAACCCCTCCTCCTTCCCTCTCCCTCTATTCCATCTATCCTCCCTCCCATCTATCCTCCAACCCTCCTATCTATCCTCCATCCATCCCTCTATCCCTCCATCCTTAAATCTCTCACTCACCGGCATTCTTTACCACACAATGAGTCCAGCCAGTAGTTAGGATGGACACCAAACCTCGACCAATGAGCGAGCCCGGTGATATGATAATGAGTGATTAAGCACTTGTTTAAGTGATGAGACAAGCAACCATCTGATTGTGGTCAATTTATTCTTTTAATCAAATGTTCGCTTCGTTAAGGCGATATTTTGGTACAAGGTTTAGTTCAGGATTTTTTTTCTTTTCTATTTTTTTTAATCTCGGTGAAAATATTAGTTTTTTCTTTTGTTTTTATTAAGATTATTTAGTTTTTGATAAGTTTATTTTATTTATTTTTATTTTTTTCATTGATTTTTTATTTTTCAGTTTATGAATTTTTTTTTCCTGAATGAATGTCTGGTCGTGAAGGATGAATGAACATCCTTCCTTCAGCTCCACTTAAGTGAAAGAATTAAAACATCTACAGAACACCATTACTTAAACACTTATCAGGTATAATCACTTAACTTGTTCTGCCATTTAATGTAAGTAAGTTAAGTGAGTAGGTTATATATACTGAGTGAAGTGGTTATCCGGTTAAAAGTACAAGATTCGGATAACCTGAAACTTGATGTTAATAATTGTGGTTATTATATCACCGGATAATAAAATAAATATCCGGAGTATATATATAATCATTTTAGAGAGAAAGGATTTGTTCGATACTAATAAGTCGGTTGACAGTAAAAGTTCCGGATAACTGGGGGACTCCTCATGCTAATAATCCGGTTCAGGGAGATGATGGAGATAGGTCATGAATAATAGAGGAGGGAAGAGGCGACACTCTCCTATCTGATAACTACGAAGAATAAGTCCGGATACCTGGTGAACTATGATCAGTTACCGGATGAATAATCTCGGGATAATGATGAGGACACCTGAATACGATTGAATTATTTACGGATATCATGTTTATGGGCACCAATAACTCGCGTTCGGATACGGGTGGAGTATATTCGGATTCCTAAGGTATATAAGTTCGGATAACGGGTAACCAGATAAACTATGAATAGTATTAGACTAATGCTGACCACCCAAGCTCACTCGTGGGCGGATACCGTTAATTTCTGAGACGATACAAGTGGAGTTTAGTCGGATAAGGATGAAAATATTCGGATAAAGGTGGAAAGTTTTCGGATGGAGGTAAATATGGTCAATTAATTATGGATAAGGCTGGATAAGGTCTAGTAACAAAACAACGATAACCATATGAAACAATTGCTGGTGAGAATTATCCGTAGTCCGGTAAAGGATGATGTTCGGATATGTATAAAAACATGACCTGGATTAAGGCTAGTTAAGGGACTATGTTGAGTTACAGAGGAGTCTTGTTGGCCGGATATCAGTGAATACTATGTTAATGTGGTTGAGTGACGGATGAGTGCTCAGGTGGGTGAGTGACGGGTGAGTGTCTAGGTGGGTGAGTGCCCAGATGAGTGAATGACGGGTGAGTGTCCGAGAGTGTAAGTGACGGATGAGTGTCCGGGCGTGTTGGTGATGGTGGTGGTGACGTTTGCTCCACCATTGGCGAGGTTGCTGGCCAGCTCAGAGACCCGCTATTATTTCCATTCTGGACAGACACGACAGTCCTATACACCCTCCCCAGCTCATGCTAAATTCACTCATTGATTTGTAAGTCCCAGGTGTCAATTTTGCTTGTCTTGGGGCGCGGGATAAGGTGTTATGAATTAATCATATGTAATCATCAACAATGTTAGCTAGTAGGGAGGAGAGACGTAAGCCCGAGACAGGTAGAAGAGGGTGAGTTTGGGTCTTGTGTGTGGGTGGAGGATGGGCGTGGGGGGCGTGTGGTGGCGCGGGTGTGGGTTGCGTGCGTGAGGAGCCGCCGCGACGTGTCACTTGATGGCGTGGACTGGGACCAAGCCAGGCTATCATTAAGCACTGTCACCAGACGAAGATAAGAGCAGCCAGCCCAGCCCACACTCACAAGGTCATATGTGTGTGCGTCCCCTCCTCTCCTCTCTCTCCTCCCTCCCCTTACCCTCTTCCTCCTCCTCCTCCTCTTCCTCCTTCGACCTCCCATCCCCCGGCCCTCCCCCCACTAACCACCTAGTCCCCTCCTTGCGCTGTGCTGGCGTGAGAGTGGTGGGGATGAGACAGAGGATAGGGGGAGTGGAGGATAGGGAGGAGGGGGGGGGAGAGGGATTTTTGTTGTTGCTGATATCCCGCTGTCGTGAAGACCACCTCCCACCCTCCTCTAGAGTGACGCGTTCCTCTGATCTTTCTCTCTCTCTCTGTCTTTACTCCTGTATCCACCCAACACACCCACCCACACACCCACATTACCTTGTTCCAATCCCTCACACACACACTCTCCACACTCATCTGCAAGAGTTGTGTTTTGATACCAGCATGTTGCTTCTTTCACCTACACCACATCCACCCCACCCTCCTCCACCCAATCCACCCTCCTCCACCCAATCCACCCTCCTCCACCCTCCTCCACCCACCCTACAATGTCAAAGCAAATCTTAAGACCCCAAATACAAGAGAAAAACTCATTACTGACCCCACACAGGAAGCCAGAGATGCAGGAAATAGATCTGTGTGTGTACATCCTGTTCTGAGGGTGGCGAGAGAGAGACGATTACCTTCAATTGTTTGGCTCATGAGGGAAGGAGGATCCAAGCATATTCAGTATGCCTTCAGAACATAAATTAGATCAACTATAGGTGGATTCAACACTCCTTTAAATAACAAACAATAAGATACAACTCTCTTCAGTAAACCCGGATCTATTCTTAATTAGGGTTCAATTCTCTTGGATATAAGATTCAGTTCTATTTATAAGTTAAGATTCAATCCTCTTTTATATAGGATTAGTATTTATTATTAAAGGACTGAATCCTCTTTGTGAGATCTACCTTAACCCAGCACCTCACTTGTCTTCCAGGAATTATTACTTATGCCACCTTCAGTTTCTCATTAATAATTCCCTCCCTTCTCTGTGTTTAATTCTTCTCTTTCTCTCTCTCCCCGTTTCTATCTCTTTCTCATGTCTCTCCCAACACCTGGAAGAGAACGGGAGACACGAACCTAATATAGACTAATTACGGGGGACTACGATAGGTAACAAATCATTAAGTAGGGCCCAGGTGTACACTCCCCTGATAAACACTCGACACACCTCCATATCTTGACTAATGTGCCACAGATCAACGCCAGTCAGGAAAATTGAAGAAAGTCAGAAATCATTTACGAGTGATGAGAAATGGTGATAGGAGGAGGAGGAGGAGGAGGAGGAGTCAAGGTTTAGCTAACTGTGGGTGGGTTAAGGAGGAGGTACTGGGGTGAGGAGGAGGAGGAGGTTAGGTTAAGTTAGGGGAAAACATTGTATTTCTTGAATAACTCGCAGTATAAAAATTAATTTGTAAAAAAAAAGACTAAATCAAATCCTCAGAATATTTTTTTATATACAAGCGGGAAGTTTATCGGATACTACGAGGAGGAATAAACAAATAAACAAAACACAATCAACACATCAGCATTCTTGACGACTTTTACCTAAGATGGTCTGACTGATAACACACACACACACACACACACACACACACACACACACACACACACACACACACACACACACACACACACACCTCTCTCACACATTCAGACATACAGACATACAGACGCAGAGAGAGAAAATATCAATATGCCGGCTGGACACATCAGATAGAACCACATTACAATAAAGCTGCCATCAGTGGAGGACCTTTGAAGACCAGAGAAGCCTGTTACAAGTCCTACTGTGTGCTGGTCTCTTCTTCTTCCTCCTCCTCCTCCTCCTCCTCCTCCTACAGTCCTGATTTCACATCCTAACCTTCCTCCTCGACTCCTTATTGGCTACCTGGGTGGTGATATAGCCTCTCAGGTGAGTAGTTAGGATGTTGGGTGTAAAAGAATTTGATTTTTATGAGTGTTTGTTTTGGTTGGCTTAGTGTGAGAGAGAGAGAGAGAGAGAGAGAGAGAGAGAGAGAGAGAGAGAGATTATGTTACTAAACAATAAACAAACTTCTCCACCTTGCTGCTATAGTGATAACCATGACAACAAGGGGGAATACTGCATACTGATCTAAATTACTCTGCTGTTTACCTGTTACCTGATGTATAGGTACTGTCATCAACACACATGTACAGTAGATATCCCAACACTGATATCTCCACTCTTCCTACTGACGTCTATGTACACACAGTAACACTTACATTATAATAAACAACAAACCACTCCTCCATATAATGACTTTCGGATAAGGAAGCAGCGTTCTCACTGACCTGGCAAGTTTTGGTAGTTCGGATAATCAGAGTATTATGGATAGTCTGGGATAATCAAAACACTAATGAATAATCAGAGCTAATCAAGGACCTGAGGAGGAGGAGGAGGAGGAAGAGGAGGACTAGAGGAAGTGGAGGAAAAACAGGAGGTGCCACTGACCTGAGGCTGGTAATGTGGGGGCATTCTCTCGACAGCTTCCTGGTACACGTCGATTGCTCTCCCGAAGTGGCCATCGTCAGCGTAGAGTCTCCCCAGGTTGAAGAGTGCTGAGATCTTAGTGGACTCGTGGGTTCGTGGATCCTTTAGTCCTGATCCGTCCAGCTGTGAGCAGTGGCGGTACACCTCAGCTGCCTCCACCCGCTGCCCCATCAGGCCCAGCACCAGCCCCATGTTCAGGTGTGCCACTGTAGGAAAACACAGTCTAGTTTTACCAGTGTACCCGAGAACCACACAGTCAAGTTATACTAGTGTACCAGAGAACCACACAGTCTAGTTATATCAGTGTACCCGAGAACCACACAGTCTAGTTATATCAGTGTCCCCGAGAACCACACAGTCTAGTTATATCAGTGTACCAGAGAACCACACAGTCTAGTTATATCAGTGTCCCCGAGAACAGTGTACCCGAGAACCACACAGTCTAGTTATATCAGTGTCCCCGAGAACCACACAGTCTAGTTATACCAGTGTAGTTATATCCCGAGAACCACACAGTCTAGTTATATCAGTGTACCTCTAGTTAGAACCACACAGTCTAGTTATACTAGTGTACCCGAGAACCACACAGTCTAGTTATGTCAGTGTACCCGGGAACCACACAGTCTAGTTATATCAGTGTACCCGAGAACCACACAGTCTAGTTATATCAGTGTACCAGAGAACCACACAGTCTAGTTATATCAGTGTACCAGAGAACCACACAGTCTAGTTATATCAGTGTACCAGAGAACCACACAGTCTAGTTATACCAGTGTACCCGAGAACCACACAGTCTAGTTATATCAGTGTACCTAAGAACCACACAGTCTAGTTATATCAGTGTACCAGAGAACCACACAATGTTATTTTCCTAATATAAGAGAGAGAGAGAGAGAGATACAATAAGAACGAAGTGAGAGATAAATAAGGCCATGTGAGAGAAAATTAAACCCAAGTGAGAGAAAATTAAACCCAAGTGAGAGAAAACTAAACCCAAGAGAGAAAAAATTAAACCCAAGTGAGAGAAAACTTAAACCCAAGTGAGAGAAAACATAAAACAAGGGAGGAATCACTTACTAGCCATACGAGGTCGGAACTGTATTGCGAGTTTATATTCCTGTAACGCCTCTTCATATCGCTTCTGCTCTTGAAATAGTATACCTCTGTAGGAGAGAGAGATATATGGGAATGTTAGTATGCGCTGAGGAGGTGGGTATATCACGCTTAATATAGGATATACTTTATGTGTTTGTGTGTGTGTGTGTGTGTGTGTGTGTGTGTGTGTGTGTGTGTGTGTGTGTGTGTGTGTCCATATAAATATATACATCAGCTGTATTTACACTTACACACTAATTACAATCGTTAACACGCACACAAATAATAATTAATACTCACAAGTTATAATGCACGTCCGCCATGTTCGAGCGGTAAGACAAAGCTTTTTTATAAGCCCATTCAGCTTTCTCTTTCCTGCCCTGGGAGCTGAGTATGTTGGCCAGGTTACCGTATGCTGTGAGGGAGAGAGAGAGAGAGGGTGAGTATTATTGATGGGAGAGAGAGAGAGAGAGAGAGAGAGAGAGAGAGAGAGAGAGAGAGAGAGAAAAAAAAACACTCATAATTTACATTTAAAAAAAAATGTATCTCAAAGCTAAACTCCGTCACACATAAGTCAGTCAAGTCACCAGTATAAGAAATATATATGTGAAATAATTCCTAAATTTTTTTTTAGTAGGATGAACAAAGCATTTAACTACACTCATGATTCTTTTCGTAAATAAAACACAACAACATTCTTATTTCTTAACAAACAAATCATATTGAACGATAACAAACAATTAAATAAACAACTCGATGATATTCTCAAAACCATAACAAACTTGGTAAAGCTAAGACTGTCACCGTTAACTGTGTGCATTATCCCCAGTAACCTCTTCAGGACAAACAAATCATCCATATCATGACTAAATCAGCTCATGGTGTAGCGTCATCACGAGATCATCTGGTTCGTGACGTCATCGCCGAATCAGCTGGGAGCATGACGTCATCACGGGATCAAGCTGGTTCGTGACGTCATCGCCGAATCAGCTGGGAGCATGACGTCATCACGGGATCAAGCTGGTTCGTGACGTCATCGCCGAATCAGCTGGGAGTATGACGTCACAACGAGATATGCTCACTAACTCGATCAAATTACCAACACGAGACCATGAATAACTAAGACATAAGAACAGATAGACTTAACACACCTAGTTATAGACCCCACAGAAGGAGGTCAAAGGTCATTCCCCCCAAAATACACCATATGGGTTATTTTTGACCATTTAGAGCCTTAAATAAACCACAACACTAGTAAACAAAGCTGAGAGAGAGAGAGAGAGAGAGAGACCAACCCTCCTCTTTGGCGTACACCTGGTCACCCCGCCCTCCATAATCAAGGTTCAGGTAGACGCTCCTAACGCACGTAATCTGGGAAACCCTTTCTGTTGACCTTAAAATATCTCCTCTTCTTCCTCAAACAAAATAGCAATAATAACCTGTGACGGGGAAAACTTGTTTCCTCTGTCTGTCTGTCTGTCTTCTGTCTTTTTTGTCTGTCTATTGTTTTGTGTTTATATATATTTACCTGTCAACCTAATCCCTATTTTTTCTAGCTATATTCCCTTATCTTACCTTATCCTCTGACCCTCACACTCCCTCACCTTACCTCACTCCTGACCATTGCACTCCCTCACCTCACCCTGACCCTCACACTGACCTCACACCACCTTATGGAACCTCCACACCTCCACCATTGCACTCTCACCTTGACCTCACACTCCCTGACCATTGCACTCCCTCACCTCACTGACCTCACACCTCACCCACTCCTCTGACCACTTGCACCTCTCACCTCACCCTGACCTCACACCACCTCACCCCTGACCTCACACCACCTCACCTCCCCTTGACCCTCACCTCTCACCTCCTCACCCCTGACCCTCACACTCCTCACCTCACACCTTACCTCACCCTGACACTCACCACCCTGACCCCACCACCTCACCCTCACCCTGACCCCTCACTCACCCCCTCACACCCTCACCACCTCACCCTGACCTCACACTCCCTCACCTTACCTCACTCCTGACACACTCCCCACCTCACCCTCACACCCCCCTACCTCACCCCTGACCCTCACACTCCCTCACCTCCACCTTACCTCAACCCACACCTCACCTGACCCTCACCTCACCTGGCACCTCACCTGACCCCACCTCACACCCTCACCTCACACCCCTGACCTCCCTCACCTCCACCTCCTCACCCCCACCCTCACCTCACCTCACCCTGACCCCACACTCCCCACCTCCCACCTCACCCACCTGACCTCCCTCACCTCCTCACCTCATCACACCACCTTACCTCACCCTCCCCACACTCCTCACCTCACCTCACCCTGACCCACACTCCTCACACCCTCACTCCTCACCCTTACCTCACCCTGACCCTCACACTCCCTCACCTCACCTCACCCCCTGACCTCACACCTCACCTCACCCTGACCTCACACTCCTCACCTCACCCTGACTCACCCTGACCTCACACTCCCACTCCACCTTGACCTCACTCCTGACCATTGCACTCCTCACCTCACCCCTGACCACACTCACCTCACCTCACCTCACCCCTGACCTCACACTCCCTCACCTCACCTCACCCCTGACCCTCACACTCCCTCACCTTACCTCACTCCTGACCATTGCACTCCCTCACCTCACCCTGACCCTCACACTCCCTCCTCCACACCCCAGCCACTACTGTTTACATGCTGGTCGACGCTTCCATTATATGCACCTCAAGACCCCGAAAGATCGTACACTAAATTTTTCTCACCTTAAGACAGACTGATGCGAGAACATCACTTATTGTCTTGCTTAAGTTAAATTACAAAGATGATTCATTATATGGTGTTAATACTTTTATATATATATATATATATGTGTGTGTGTGTGTGTGTGTGTGTGTGTGTGTGTGTGTGTGTGTGTGTGTGTATAGAAAAAATTATGATAGTGTTAATGGACCTAGGTTCTAATAAATCCGTCTTACGTTAAATTTTGAACGGCTGAACTAAATTAATTGCAAAAAAATCGAATTTGTTTAGAAGAAATGTATACATATCTACCTATACAGCCGTACTAGGGATACAATACTGACATGACACTGATTTCTTTAGACCCATACACATAAAGGTCCACCAAAACAGTGCCTCGTCAACTCTCAATATGACCCTCTCAAGAATTCTAAACCTGGTAGCCACTTGTCCCGAGGCGCCTGTAGCAGTTATATGACACAAGAAAGAACCACTGACGGAGGAGGACCCGAGTTGTATCATGTTGTTTTGTGTTGATCTGACGACAAAATTCTAGATATCTTCAACGTCGTTATATTCTTCTTCACACTTACGGGAGAATCTTAATGCAAATTTCGACTCTAATTTCACAAACTATAAACCGTATATTAAGTCAGATCGACACCTTCTTACATTTCGAAATATGAGAAAAAGGAAATTTAACTTACGAACTTAATATGACTCTTTGGGTTATGAGAATGCTGAATAACATTTCCCCGTGTCAGGCGTGGGGGCGGCGTGAGGCTGTGGGCTGGCTCTGTCCCTTGGCCGCCCTCTGAGTTAAAAGTCGTAATTACTGGTGCAACAGAGAGCCATATAAATGCTAATGGCCTCTGACTCCTCCTCGCCCAAGACCCTCACCGTGGAGTGGGATCCAACACCATGGTACAGGAGGATCTAACACCATGGTACAGGAGGATCTAACATCATGGTACAGGAGTATCTAACACCATGGTACAGGAGGATCTAACATCATGGTACAGGAGTATCTAACACCATGGTACAGGAGGATCTAACACCATGGTACAGGAGGATCTAACACCATGGTACAGGAGGATCCAACACCATGGTACAGGAGGATCTAACACCATGGTACAGGAGAATCTAACACCATGGTACAGGAGGATCTAGCACCACGGTACAGGAGGATCTAACACCATGGTGCAGGAGAATCTAACACCAGGTACAGGAGGATCTAACACCATGGTACAGGAGAGGTTAGGTTAGGTTAGTTTGAGAATAAAATATAGATCTATACACATATACAGTATACATTTAACAGCTATATGAATGAAAATACTGATAATTCGTTTTTGTCTTACGGTTTACACATGACGATACGTAGTCATGTATACAGCATAATGACACTTAAAAAACACTACAGGTCAAAGCCTTCACTGAGAGTCCAGACGGAGATGATTAAACCCCACTATTCCAAGAGCCGTTTGGGCCGGTGTAGCGTTCTCAGAGGGCCCCCATACTCAGAAGGTCCCCATATTCAGAGGGCCCCTATATTCAGAGGGACCCCATACTCAGAGGAACTTCGTATTCAGAGAGCCCCTACTCAGAGGGCCCTAATACTCAGAGGGCCCCCATACTCAGAGGGCCCCCATATTCAGAGGGACCCCATACTCAGAGGAACTTCGTATTCAGAGAGCCCCTACTCAGAGGGCCCTAATACTCAGAGGGCCCCCATACTCAGAGGGCCCCACACTCAGAGGGCCCCAATACTCAGAGGGCCCCCATACTCAGAGGGTCCACATACTCAAAGGGCCCTTGTATATAATGCGCATGAGCAAAAATTAGGGGAATCCTCGTAACATTGCTAAGGTGATCTAAAAATACACCCATTCTTACACTTCAGGAATTCAACCTATATTAACAAGAGATTTAGCTATCGGTGTATTTTAACGAGATAATATCCAATGTATTTTTTTATTTACTTACTGTATTAATATTACTTTAAAAGTCTAATATAAAAAAAAGGTGACAAGTGAGTTCCTCGGTGATATGTCTTTGCAAAACACAAGTGAAGTGAAAGATGATAGAGGAATACAAAACAGGAGGAAGTTGACAACCTAATTTAGACTTTTACACCTACGTATTACAAACAAAGAGTCCGCTGACAATGGCCGCCTCTTGAGAACGCGGGAGCTGCAGAACCCGGACAAAAATAGCACACACAGACACACAAAAACAAGAGAGTAATAAAAATGAGAAGCACTAAGTCGGGACGTGTCTTGTGGTGGTCTACGATATTAGGTGTGTGATGACAGGTGAGCTGGGTGGTGAAAATGAGCTCCCAACCACCACCACCCACCCTTACGCATACACCTGTTATGTGCGTTATCTGGCTAGTAGTGTCAGCCTGCTAGTAGTGTTACCCTCCTAGTAGTGTCACCTTGCTAGTGGCGTCACAGGCGCACAAGTAATCTAAGATGATCAAGCAATTGTCTGCAACACATAAGCAGTTAACTATCAGCTGCTGCAAGAGACAACAAGAACGTAACCCACACAAACAGCGCTGTCGTAGTTGAAGTCACAATAAGGTCGTTGGCCCAACATAAATGACCATAGAAGCGGCGGTTAGTTGTGGGTGATAACTAGGTAGTTAGACAAAG